GGTTGGTGTGATTTGCCCTCTTGTGACCTCTAGTCTTTATCCTGTGTCATGCTGAATGTCAGAGCTCAAAAGCTTTTAATGCCTCCTAAGGCCACTGAAGGCATCTTTTTGTCTTCTATTTAAAATGCTAGATTTGTAGATCACATGCATTCGCTATTTGATAATGAGAAGGTATTTGCCTAGGACACTTATACTGGCTAATCCTGTAGCCTCTGTTTGGCTTGGTCGGGGATGACATTGAGTGTACTGCGTGGAAGTCTCTTGTGGAAAATACTTCTGAAATGATCTGTTGTGATTTCTAAGTTTGTAAGATGGGCTGTTTGGGTATCTTTCACAAATGCTGCCCCAGTGTTACCTGACTTCACTATCACTGCCTTTAGAGTGACAGAGAGGATCTATGTTTGAAACATCTTGCATTTTCAGCTTGAGTGTGACATGGTCCCCCATGATGGCTTTGATAGGATTTTTCCTTTCCATCATTTAATATTCTGTCAGGAAAGTCCTTCAGACCAATGTTACATTCAACAGACATTTTGAGAAGCTGGCAATCATGTATTCAGTTAGAACAACTGCATGAAATTAAAATATCAAGTAGTTATTAAATTTTTGGTCATGAGTCTCCTAACTACTATGATGCAGCCCATGGACAACCTCAGAGAAAGCAGACATGTGGATTTCTTGTGGTTCCATTTGTCATGACCTTGGGTGGGACTTGCAGACTATATATCGTACATAATTTGGTCAGCAAAAATGTACTGACAACCTCTGTGAGGTTCTGTATGTCCCCCTGGGTACAGGCAATCTATGTGGCAGACATTTCCATGGCTGTTTGCAAACCTTGCAAATTGCTGTTAAGGGAAAACTCTGCCATTGAACTGCCACCAGGCTCTGGCTTGTGGAACCCACTGGGGCTGGCAGGATTTACCTAAAATATCACGGGGTGTGTACTGGGTAGGGGTGCTTCATTTTCTACTATCAGGGAATTTGTTTTCAGCTGGGAAAGATTTACTGATTGTGGTGATTTGCTTGTAGCAGAGAGGGGATGGAGCCAGAAGAAATCTAGTGCAAAAGGTATTTATCTTTTGGATGACTTTTGTGTGTTTTAATGCTTTCTTGTATCTGGATGTGTTGGAAATGTCTTGAGTGAGTTCATCGGATAACTCATTATGAGCTGCATCATTTCCAGATACTTACAAAGGGCTTATTAGTGCAGGAAACGGCCTTTTCACTTCCAACCTGCTTCCTGTTTATCCCTCAGAGGATGTAAACTCTTCTTTCTCACAAAGTTTAGCAGGAGCTTATTTGAAGCCAAAGTCCTCTGCTGAGATTGAGGGCATTTGTCAAGAGTGTGGGGCTGCAGCAGAAATGCACTGACAGCATAGCCGCTGGGGTCTGGAGGAGTGAGAGGTCTCACCCAAAAGATATTGGTGCTGTGGGGTACAGGTGAGGACTACCTCATTGGCTGGCTGCTGGAGGTGGACTTGGATCCCAGCTTTTGCTTCCACCCTCTCCTCATTCCTCAGAGCGAAAACTTTGTCCCTGCTGCTCCCTGGGGTTTCCAGTGATTTAGGCTGTAGAAAGGTCCAGCTCTCTGGCTTCAAGGTCTGAACAGCCTCTGCAGATGGTTAGAAGGCTTGGAGTAGTGAAACTATGCTATGGAGGTGTTCCTCCACCCTTCTCTCCCCAGCAGCTGAGCTGACTTTGGCTCACTAGCATCGGTATTTAAAAGACTTTGAGATGTGTGTGGTCTCTGTAAAAATAAATCTCCAAAGGAAACAAATGTTATGTGGTGAGTGTCTGCCAAGTTCCTGTTGCTTATTAGCTCATAGTATTATGTAGGAGAGACTTAACTCTATAGTCTGATATAGAATAATTCTTCAATGAACTGTCAGCTCATTTGAAGATTCAGGTGTAAAGCCTGTTGCTCTATAGAGTCAAGACTGAGGCATTGGCTTTATGGGCTTTCAGTTCTGAGTGCCTTGACACATTTAGCAGCACCCTGAAATAGTAATTTGTCATTTGTTTTTGGTGTATAAGTTCACATTAAGCAAAGCTTTGAAAGAAGCAATCAGGGATGGCATTTTCAAAGCAGTCCAGAAGAACAGAGACTAGAATAAGGAATATAATTAAACGTGCTTCTAAATAGACTGACTTGAAAATGTTGATCCAAGACTTCCTTCAAAGCAGTGATCACTTGATTTAAATTTTTCCAGAATTCTCATCTGTGGTGCAGGCAGAGCTCAGCTACTTATCACCCTAATTTAAATCTTGATCAGAGAACATGCTGTGCTATCAGATGCAATTTTTTATAAAGTCAGGATGACATATAAGCAACTGGACATTGACATAGAGACAATTTAAGACTGCAGCTCCTAGTAATGCTAGAAACTGGATTTTCTAGGTGTATGTGAAGAAGTTGGCACAAAGCAATCACACCTTTTACCTGCAGTCTGTCCCTTTCCAAAGTATCACAGTTGCTCAGCAATGTCAACAAGCACATCTTTATACACATTTAGATACACAGGCAAAAGTCTAAATGTTAGCTTCCTGGAGGAAAGATGATTCACCTGATTTAAAGCAGATAATTTAATCTGAAGAGCTAAATTTATCTTTCCTTTTTAGCTAGATGAAACTATTGATGGGAAGAAGACTTTTCTTTCCAATTCTCAATCACTCATACTGCCTAAAATGGTTTAGATTATAGTGTCTCAGGGGGTGAGTCTCTTCTGATGTAAATAGGTTTTGACTAGCATTAACTCCTTAAGGCCAGCAAAGAAGCTCTTGTGCCTGACCAACAGAAATGAAGTCAGAAGCAGGCCCTTGCATTCATCAAGGAGCTGTTTATTTCTATGCCATATTGAGTAGCCCAGCCAATGTCTGCAGTATGAGGTGAACCTGTTCTCATTTGAAAAGAAGCAAATGCAGTGAGAATCCACTGAGAGCATGTGAAATCAATCTGGCTCTAGGGCTCTTTACCTCTGATGATGCTCTGGCTGCTGAGATTCTTCTTGTCTTGTGGCAGGATTAAAGGAGGACAAGTGTACTGAAGGTGATTTGGGTACCTTTTAGGAATAATTTGAGATTTTACCCAAGATGAACATTACCATCATTGGCTATAGAAATCTTATCTGTCAATCAGGAACAAATATCAGGTCTCTTGCTGGAGTAATTCTGCTTTTAAAAGGAAGTGCCCACACTCCAGAAAACTTCTGGCAGTGTCCTGAGCAGACATGTACATGATGTATAGATATGCTTCATCTTCGCACTAGCATGTATGGTCTTAGATGTGCAAAGAAGTCAAGAGCCATCTGTTCATGCTGTTTGAGACCTTTTGGTGTCCTCAGAAATCTCCATATAAATCAAACTTGGGAGATGAGTAAATTGTACAATTCCACTGATTGCATGGGTTTACATCATCCTGCTAGGTTACCCTGGGGTAGTATCCAGGTCTTTAGACATCATCCCAGTCTGCCTCTTTTCTCTCAAAGCTATGTGCACCACTGAAGACCACTGAAGGTTTCCTTTTCTCTATTCTTGCTGTTACTGTACTTGGCACATGCATAATGATTTGTATCTTTGCTCATTTTTAAAGTATGAATAAATTTATATTTACAACAGCATTGTGGTATAGAAAAGAACTGTTAATCCTGGACAGATTAAGCACATGTTCATGAAAACCCACATATTATCTAATTTGGAATGGGATCTATTGGGAAGGAGAAGGCTTAAAGTCCCACCTAACTCTTGCATCTGCATCTAGAGACCTACTGAAATATGCCTTGGATAGCGCAGACCCTGTTTTTTTCTGTGGTCCTCTCAAGTGCTAGTTCCTGAGGAAGGAGAGCAGAGCTGTGGTCTCCTCTGTAGTGATTCCACCAGACACAGAAGGGAGCAGACAACAGCTTTAGCGGAGGATGCATGGGAGCCTTTGAGTAAAAGGATGGTTTCAGGGAATAAGAAACTTTACAAATGTCATGTGTGAAAGTTGCTGGCAAACAAAGATGAGCTTTCAGTGCATTTATCAGTGTTGCCTGCACTATTATGTACAGGACAGACAAAGCTGGAATATATACTAACTTTTTCTGTGTAAATGTGATACTGCTGTGATGTGCCAAAATCACAAAATCTGATGTTTTAATTCAAAACAGACACAGCGTTGTTAGGGCAGATTTCCTTCTACAAATGGGAAGACCCTCCCATTTCCAAATCTTGTTCTTTTCTAAAATAAAGATGGGATCAGCATCAGCGGGATTAGGAGCAGGGTTAATGGTGCTGCTCTTCTAACTGCAGGAGAGAAATCTTCATCCAGAAAGCAGGTGAAAGATTTTGCTGTCGAAGTGAAAAAGCCCAATACAATTTTGTAACAGCTGAGTCCTCCTGCAGTGGAATCAGAAAATAAACTTCTCTTAGTTTGGGATATGAGCCAGGTTGAATCTGTTGGGTTAAGCTTGCGTTGAATGACTCCATCCTGAACCCCTTGGGGATTTGAATGAACTGGGATTCAGAGCTCTGGCTTTGGCTTGTGTCCAATGTTAACGGAGGAAAATTATTCAGGGGCGCTGCATGCAGAACCACCAAGTAAATTCTCCCTTTCTGCTTGCCAGTGTAAACCATGAATGCTGTGTAAAACCAGTACAGGAGAAGGACTGTGCCCAGTTCCACTGGCCAACTTTTTTTCTTCATTGCTTCCCTAACTCATGGGAGGCTTGTGCCAGCATTGTAGCACACTGTAGGATTGCAGCCATGACCTCCTTGTACTGGTAATCCTATAATATCGCTGCATCAGTCCGATTATGCGCTTTTTTTTTTTTTTTTTTTTTGTGGCCAGATGCTTTCTTGGTGAGGCTAGAGCAAGGGGAAAACTGTATCCTTAAGAACATCACCCCAAAACTTGCCCCTTTAAACTTTTTGTTTACCATAACATATCCAGACCTAGAATGAACACACCCTTTTTTTTCTCAAATACAGAGAAGACTGCAAGCAGACGACTGATGATGAGAGTAAAAACCACTGAGGCAAAGTTACCGTGAAGGGATGGAATAAGGCACTAGGACCTAGGAGGCGTCTCATCCACCCTGGCAGGAATTTCTTGCTTGGAGCTCAGACAACAAAGGCAGAGTGAGCCTGGTTTTCTTTCTCTCAGCATCTCCACCCTGCGCGCTGAAAACCGGTGAGTAGAGCTTTTCTGAGTGACTTGCATGCAGAAAAGTAACAGATGTCAGATAGAAAGGAGGAATCTTTCTCTTAGTACCTTACAGCATCTGCAGTTCATTTTGAAATCAAAACCCCCTGCATCCTCTGATTCATTCCCGAAGTTGCTTGGATGTTTCATTGTTCACTGCATGACACCAGACTGAATCTACCCCAACTGTGATCGTGGGGAAAATGTTCCCAACTTGGGGTTTCTGTGGAGATCGCCTGCATTGTCATCTTCTGCTTTATTGCAGACTGGAGACAATGATTTTTCTTGCACAGGTCACGTTGACATTGTAAAATACAGGGCAGGACCTTCGTTTTGGCAAATGTAAGGGGTGGGGAAGAGAGAGCAACAGCTTTTCCTAGATTTATACCTGGCTGCCAAGTGCTGGTGTAGATTCCCTTTTTGCCTTGTATTAACATGCAAGCAACATACATGGATTGCATGTTCCTGGTTGTACTGGGGGAGTGGAAGGGTCTTTCTGTTGCAGGGTTGGGGGTTCCTCCTTCTTTTGTGTTGGGGTTTGGTGGGGGAGGAAGGCTGTTCTTGAGCATAAACTAGAGATGGTGCAGAAATTTCTGCTTGCTGGGTGTCAGCTCAAGTCTCAGCTTTTCTGTAGTAGTCACTTGCGCTGGGAGCCCCCCATGCTCAGAACAATGAAAGGTGAGCTAGCAGGGGCGGCGTGTCCCTTGGGCAGGGGCACTTTCAGCAATTAAATCACTTAAGGCTGGAAGGGGGGTGGAAATAGCGCCTTTATTTTCTCCTCATTAAACGGGAGCAGAAATGCAATTCAGAGGAGGTTCAGGCTGAAAAGAGCTTATCGAAGCCTCGTTTCAATGACAGATTTTTCTTTCCAGTCATTTCTTCTTAGAGATGTAGGCTGGTCCTGGGAATTGATTGATGGGCTAGGAGGGGGCTGCGGAGAGGGGGAAGGGTGGGCTGGATCTCAGTGCTAACCCTTATTGAACAGGCTGTCACAAAGAAACTGCTTATTCCCCTGTGACCATTCTTTCATAAATGCCAGTTTATTCTAATGTTAAACATTCAGATGCTCTGGTTCCTTCCGTGATTCGACAGATTGAAGGGCTGACTTACTGGGATCTCCTTGTTTTCTGTTGCCAAAGGAAACCTCACAGGGCTCAGAGGTTTAATTCATTGCCAACTGCTGTTTGGATGAGGTTTTTGGGGCTAAGTTGTGATTGCCATGTATCCCTTTGGCCCCAAGTCCCAATTTACTGCACTTTGAAAACTCCCAGGTGCAGGAGCAGACAGCTCTCTAGAAACGTGTTCCCTGCCCCCAGTAGTTGGATCCCTTTCAAAATGCGAGGACCCTCCTACCCTCAGTCCCCAGAATCGATACAAATCTGGGTCAGGGGAGGGAGCGCTTCCCAAATGCATCTGTCCTGCTCCAGACGCAGCTCTTGCATTAGTGTCGCTTTTCTCTCTGGATTGTGGCTCTGCTTGGCTCTAACCTGTCCCTTTGCAATTCTTCTCTCCCAATCTCCTTCCTGCTCAGCTTCAGATCTTTAGGGTTCACTAAACTATGGAACTTGATTTTGGACACTTTGACGAAAGAGACAAGGCGTCCAGAAACATGAGAGGCTCACGTATGAATGGGTTGCCCAGTCCCACTCACAGTGCTCACTGTAGCTTCTACAGAACCAGGACCTTACAGGCACTGAGTAACGAGAAGAAAGCCAAGAAGGTACGTTTCTATCGCAACGGGGACCGCTACTTCAAGGGGATTGTATATGCCGTGTCCTCTGACCGCTTCCGAAGTTTTGATGCTCTCCTGGCTGACCTGACCCGGTCCCTGTCTGACAACATTAATCTGCCTCAGGGAGTCCGTTACATTTACACCATCGATGGATCACGGAAGATTGGGAGCATGGATGAGCTGGAGGAAGGTAATTAGCATTGCTGTCTGGTGCAGTGAGGAGGCGGGGTGGGAAGGGGGCTGCACCACTTGGGTCTGCTGCTAAGGTCACATTTCCTGGTGCATGGGAATGCTTCTGCCTCTCAGCGCCAGACTCGCCCGTTTGCCTTCCCCTCCAGATAGGTGCAGGAAAGGGTGGCAGTGCAGAGGCTTCCCCCCCCAGGGGTGTCCCCCAGCTCGCTTGGGTGTGGATGTGGAGCTAGAGGGGTGTGTCTTACTCTTGGCTAGACATGGCTGTGTCCATCACTGGGGGAGGGAGGGGGGCTGTCTGAGGGTGTCCCCACACTGCCCGGGCTGGGGTGTGGAGAGGGGTCCCAGATGGGTGCAGGGGGTGACTGAAGAGTGATGTGGGTTTCCTACGGGGGTGGGTGGGTATGAATGGAAAAGTGAAGGGTGCTGGGGGATTAATGTAGTGTGTGTAACGGGGGTGGGAGGGATTTACGCACTCTGTGTATGGGGGTGTTTTGAGGGGTTTGTGCACAATATGTGTGTATAGGGGTGTGGTCAGGTCTGTGCAGGGATTTGAGTGTGTGTGGAGTGGGGTGTTGGATGTGAATGCAGTGTATGTATGGTGGATGTGACAAAGGTGGGGTGTTAGGGGGTTTTGTAGTGTTTGGGGAGTGTGTGGAGAGATGTGCTGGGAGTTCACACAGTGTGTTTAGAAGGGGGAGTTAATGAACAAGGTGTGTGTTTGGAGAAGGGTGTTTTAGGCAGGTTGCACTTAGTGAAATTTAGGGGGTTTATACATGTGTATGTGTAAGGTGTAAGGAGGGTTAGCTGCACAGAAGGTGTTGGGATTCCTTGAGGGTGTTCATACAGAGGGTGTGCGTTGGGGTTTGTGCTCAGGGAGTGTGTGGAGGTGTGTTGGGCTCTGTGTGTGTAAGGGGAAGTGCTGGGGGGGTTCTTTCATAGCGATGTGAGTGGAGAGGGCGTTGAGAGTTCATGTGCACCATTTGAATATAGTTCATGCAGGGTCTGGATGGGAGGTGTATTGAGATGTTCAGATGGGGGGGTGTAAGGGGGTAGATTTGGGGAGTGTTTCTGCAGGGACTGTGTGTTACAGGGTGGGTTGCTGTGGTAGGTCTGTGAGGGAGTGTGGGAAGGCATCCCTTGTGTGGCAGGTCTGAGTGTGCAGGGGATGCTCAGGGCAGGCCTGAGTATATCCCTGTATTTAGAGAGGGTGTCAGTGTGTCTGGTCCTCTGAATGTCACTTGGACTGTGGGATGAAGGATGAGTCAAAAATCAGTCCTTCTGTCCAGAGGGGGTGGCCCAGAGGCAGGGTTGCTCCCGTGGAGCTCAGCTGCCAGCCTTATCTGTGCCTGGGGAGCTCCCTCTGCAGCAGTGAGCTGCCGCCATGGGTGCTGCCTTTCTTTTCATCCTGTCAGGACCCCCAGGATGAAATTGCTACAATGCTAGTCCTGCCTCCTTGCCCAAGGTGGGGCCATGGGCAAGCTCTGCTGGTGGTGCAGCTGAAGTGGGGTGCACAGAGGACACCCACAGCCATCCTGCTTTCCTCTTCCCTAAGCAATTCAGATATTCCATTCTTTGTTTGGACCTGGAATATCCCAATTACTCTGTTGCAAGAGGGGAGTTGCTCTTTCCTGTTCCTTGATGTTTTCCTCCAAGCAGATGACCTGACTGATTTGGCAACTACAGAAAATCCACAAGGCCTTCTGCCTTTAATAAAAGACAATAGATGTGAGTGTATGAGCCACAGAACTGCAGGGGCAGCCTCAGCAGTGAGTCATTGTGTGACCTTGACTAAAGCATCTCTCCCTAGGATTCCTTATCTGTCATTTCCCCAAAATACTTTGTGGGGACAAGCACACAGAATAAGTATTGGTTTCCATAGAGGCGTTTTACTGGGAAGAAATTGCTGCCTCTCAGAGAGATGATGCAGTCCTTGTGGAGTTATTCTCAGCCCAGTTACAGCTGTCGAATAGAGGTGTGGCCTCCCTTAATTTTAGAGGTTCTGCCATGTTTCATTCTGATCTCTTAATATGTCCAGAGGCTTTCTCTAATGGCAGCCCTCAGTCCTGCTTGTCCTAGGTTTTATGTAAATCTTCAGGAATAACTTCACAGGATAAAATGCAGTTCTTAATTCTCTTTTTATACTTCTCCTCCTTTTATACTTTTCCTGCTTTTTGTCAGCGAAGTTAAGAAACCTTTAGTTGTTCTATTTGCTTTACACTGGGTTTTTTCTGCAGGTAAGAAGGTACCTAGTTCCTTGAAAATGTTTTTTACCGGTTAAGGTACAGGCAGGACAATGTTGACATTCGGGTTCTGGCTTTGTTCTGCCAAAATGGTATCTGGAAACAGCACTGAAGAAGTGGCACCAAAAAATAGGAGTGGCTGTGTCCTCAGCAGAGCATCAGCTAGAAAAAAACCGATCTAGGCAGAGTGAAAACAAAGGAATCCAGTGTTTGGAAATGCAAAACTAGATCCGCATGCTGTTATTGACAATTTAATGATAACAATATTCCCATATTTCTAGGGGTGACCTATGTATTTGTTGTAGAAAAGCAGTGTGGGAAAGACATTCCTTTTGATTTATAATACCATAGTTGTAACCACCTTCGTGGTAAAGTATGTTACTAGATTGGGTGTTTGTATAACTGTGTACTAGGTACATGCATGGAAAAACAACTTCAGAGTAATTGTGCTGTGACACACAAGAACAGTACATACACAAACTGTGTATGTTTGCCATATACTGATTGTATTCCTCCTTTATATAAGTTGGTTTAATGCAGTACAGCATCCTATTACTGCACTGTTACAGCTGATCCTGACAACAGGTAAATTGCTGACATCTCCCACTTGCATACTCTCTTGGCTGAGCCAGGAGTGGATATTGGGCCCAAGTGCTGCTATCTATGATGGTTATTTTAGTCAATAAATGGATCTTTTGGAAAAGAGCACCAGGTGATCTTTATTCCCTTTCATACTATAATTGCTTCTAGTGACCAAGGCTTTAGGAATATATGAAGCTGTCTTTATAGATTATTGGTGAGCCATTGTTGTAAGTTAATTCTGTGCCTTGTGCTGTGAGAAAACTTGAATATGAAGGGTACCTAAAAAATCATGTACCACCTTTTCCAGCCTTGCTCAAGCTAATAGTAGAGCAGCTCACATTGTCATTCCAGTTTCTACTAAAATCTAGTTGCCTTTGACAGCTGGACAGGCTGGCTTTTCCTTGGTTCATTTTGAGCCTCTGTGTTCTTGTAGACCTATTGTGATGAGATGGCAAATTTTCCCTGCCTCAGCTCCGCTTGCTGTTTTTCTTTGAATGGAGGACTGGATAAAGGTGGAAGCTGATGTTACACATTGACTTCAGCAGCAAAGATAGCTTAAGAAATGCTGTTCTTGGCTACATGTTGCAAACTCAGGTTGCAACTTGCTGTCCCCATTGTCCCACAAATGAGCTCTTTGTGGGACAAAAGATTTTTTTTTAGTCCACTCCATAATTTTGCTTCTTTCCCACGTTGCCCCACTAGGAGTTTCTTGGCATAATGAAAGTGACCATGAGGTGCAACCTGAATGTGAGAGAAAGGCACAAGACACAATCCTGGCTGCTGAAGCCATTGCAGCTCCGAGTTAACCTCAGTACTGGTGGAGGCTGGTTTCCTCTGGAGGGAGGGACTGACACTTCCCCAGAAGCCACGTTCCCCACTTGTAAAGATTAGACATTTGTCACAATGTATTTAGAGTCACTGACCAAATGGGGCATCCTACTAGCATACACTATCTAAACATGCAAGAGGAGAGTGCAAGGCAGTATTTAAATGTGTAAGAGAGCTCCTGCCCAGGGAGATTATGGTCTGAAGAAGGTGTTAGTTCTGATGAAGAACTGAGATGCAGAAAAGCAGCCTGGCTTGTTTGTCCAGAGTCTATAGGTGAGACAAAGATGGAAGTCAGAACTCTGAGCTTTCTTGTTCAAGTGCTTGTTCAGATAGATCCCTTGCTGAGCCTTTTCTGGGTCTAGTTAGTGGTTTGGTGGTACTTGCATCTTTCAGTTTTTTTTATTCTAAGTGGACTTTGGACCTGCTTCTAGTCAGCAGCTGATTTCATGTGAATTAAGTGACCTTTGCCAGGTATGGTCAGGGTCAGAAGTACAAGTGGAAATAAACCCATCAAATACAAATATAGCATGGATTAGACATGGTCAGTAAAGGCAGAAATGCAGATATAGATTGAAACTAGAACTTGAGAGATTCAACATTTAGTTGAAGCTGTAGAGCTGATACAGAGAAATGATTACTTGTTTTGAGATTTATTTACTTTACTTACTTATAGCAAGTTATAGTACTTTTTAAAATATTGCTAAGAATCCTGCTTGCCCAGACGGTTCTGTGGAATTTTACCAAAGACTACTGTGTTCATCAAAACACAGCAGTTCACTGTGAAAACCTACCAAGGATTACAATGTTCAGCAAAATATTACACTTTTGGCCATGAGTATCAGGTGGCTCTAACTAGTTGTAATTTTGCTAATGAGTGAAGATAGCCATATAGGAATGATAGAAGTTCTGTTGGTCCTCTTAGATAAGATAGAAAGTAAACCGTCTGAAAAACACTCTTGTTATTCAAGAAATTGGCCAAGAGAATCTGCGCATGCTCCGGGGAAAAAACAAAGTGAGAAAGACTACGAGCCTTCCTCCCAAAGACCCCCAAAGAGGACCACCAGGAGGCAATGCGCGGGTGCAAAAATGACATAAACTGTTGACATCAGCCTTTCTAACTAACCCAGCCTTACTCATGCATATGTATGTTTGTGTTATGTAACCCAATGAATATGGATATCCACACTCTATAAGTTTTTGGTAAAATGTGTGGTGGGGGTGCAAACTTTGTGGAGAAATCCCCTTGCACCCCAGATGGAGTAAACATACCTGCTTTATAACTATTCGAGTTGTAGAGTCTTTTTTTCTGCGAATCAGAGCTCCTCCCTTCTGAGCTCCTAGTATGCTC